CACACACACACACACACACACACACACACACACACACACACACACACACACACACACACACACACACAGGTTTTATGACTCTTTAATCCCCATGCTGAAGGTGTACAAGAAGCCGAGCGTTCACTGGAGACGGCTCGGTTTATCCGACATGTTTCAGACTCGACGTGAGTGTGTGTCTGTGTGTGTGTGTGTTGGGGGGGGGTGGCAGTCAGGGCAGGTGCAGAGACAGCTGGTGTGGGGCAGCTCCAAGCAGGGGGGGGGAGGACGGGAGCGACGGTGAGATTCCTGCAGGACAAAAAACACCAACTGAACTCAGATTTTTACCCTCTTTGTCCGCCGACGCCGAAAAGACAACAAATCACGTTTTGTTTGATGCCCCTGTGTTAGCAAAATATCTCACAAAGAACCTGACACTCCAGTCGGTTACACATCTACTAGGTGTAGATGTAAACCCGACCATAATGGCTCAGGCTGCTGCAGATAATCAACATGAACAAACACAAAAGTGACTTAAACGCATACAGATAATGAGCTAAATTTCGGCGTGGTAGTAGCTGAGCTCAGTTTGTCAGGAGCTGAGGGAAGTTTAGAGACGCGCTGATCGAGCCGACTCAACAGCAGCAAACTACATGAACATGGTGAAGTGGGGCGATTCAACTGGCGGTTCGGGGGCCACATCTGGCCCGTGGGTGAGCTCAATCTGGCCCACAGATGAGTTCATTTAAAAAATTTAGTTTGTATTGTAAATGACACCAGGGGTTCCAAAACATGTCCATACCGTGGCCCCCCAACAGCATTATCTTCTGACCCCCCCCGCAAAAAAAAACATACACACAAATAATGTAAAATATGTAAAAATACACATTTAGAATGTTTTTTCTCACTTTTATTCACTCTTCAATAATTACCACATTTGTTTATGTAAGATTTTATTAACTAACGTGTTTTAAACATTTTTATATGTCCACAAAAAAAACTTTTCAACAAAATGTTGACAAAAAAAGTAACCTCTCTTACATAACATTTTGATTATTATAATACATTAGATTTTAAAATGATTGAAATGATGATCATTTTAAACATTTTTTTGTGTTTTTACACTTTTTTCTCAGCTTTCTGAYCCCCCCTGCACACGCACACACACACACACACAAAACTTTCATAATTGCTGCATGTCCAAGTATCCCTGGTGTCGAAGATTAATATCAGCTAAAATATCGCTCTGTCACACCGATATATCTGTGAGTAAAAAGTTTTATAATCTTGAAAGAAAAATTTAAATTGTCGTCTCACCTGCTGTAGATTGCTCTTTGAACAACCTCAGCTTGGAGAAATGATTTATATCCGTGAGCCTCTTGAATTTATTCCTCCAAACTGAGGTTCAAAGAACTATCTGCTGCAGGTAAGATATTTACTGTTCATACTGTTAAAGTACCTGAATCATGTTTTTGTTTTAATACCTTCTGTTCATGTTGGGTCATAAATAAAATCAGAGACAAACAGTTTTATATTTAATGTTGTTTTTTTTTCATCTCAATTGAACCATTTTAAAACCATCAGTTTCTTTGTCTTGTTTATAAAACACTGAGAGGTTGTTTGCTGCCCTCTACTGTTCAGACGAGGACTCGCGTCTCAAAGGGTTGAGCTCATAAATTGACAAACGTCTTTTTAAAAAAGGAAGAAAAAAAATGAAGATTTGTTTCGACGTGTTTGTGAGCAGAGAATATTCCGAGTTTAATAAGTTTTGTTTTGTTTGTGTTTTCTTCAGGAGGAGGCCATCCCAGAGCTGGAGATAGACGTGGACGAGCTGCTGGATATGCCCAGTGATGTGGAGCGAGCGGCCAGAGTTAAGGTCTGAAAAAAACACCAAAAAAAAATGAAGATATTAGAAAACTAAATGCATCATTTTAACGTTTGTGTCGTGTTTCAGGACTTACTGGTCGACTGTTTTAAACCTACTGAGGTAAATCAGCTTCACTCCCTCTTGACTTCCTGGAACTTTTATTTGTTAGAATTATTTTTGTTTGTTTTTAAGTCTGTTTGTTTGTTTGTTTTCCTCCTGGCAGGACTTCATCTCAGAGCTGCTGGATAAGATCCGAGGGATGCAGAAGCTCTCCACGCCTCAGAAGAAATAATGACGGTTGCTCTTCATCATCACCCCCCCTCCTTACCTTCCTCTTCAGCCCTCACCTCTCGTCTTCCTACCACACCCACATTTTTATTTTATTTTATTTTTAATTTAACGTCGGATCGGAAATCATGATTTTTTTTTTGAGCCTCAGATTTTCTCTCTTGTTGCCTGAATTCAATCTAACATCACTTTTTAATTTTTTTATTTGTTTGAACGTCCTTATTTCATAAACAATAAATTAAAAAATCCTCAGCAAAGACTAAAAATGAACAAATGTAAAACAGGTGCGCTAAGATCCAGGCTCTCTTCTTCCCCATCGCTTTGAAATCTCAGGCAGCCGTCGTTTGGCTCTTCTCTTCCTCGTCCAGCTCCTCTTCCTCCCATCTGTCTGGGGAGGAGCAGGACAGCAAAGTCCTGTAATTATTTTAAAAAAAAAGAGTGGGAAGAAGAAAAAAAAAGAGCTAGAATTAAAAGAAAAAACAAACAGAACGAATATCTGAGGTATGTCTCCATTTTAAAATCCAGCTGCCGCTTTTTTTTTTTTATCTTTGGTGCTTTTATTTTGAAGGCTTTTGTTTTTAAATGACCTTTTTAGGGGTTCAGCACCAACTTAACCCCCTCTTTTAAATAGAGGCTTTGCTGCAGCGTTGCATTTAAAGACTGTCGTCTTTTTGTGCGTCTCTTAGGACAAAAAAAGGCCCTTTTTTTTTTTTTTTTGGAAGAAAATCTGAACCTCTGACCACAGCGGTTTAGAGCGCCGAGGAAAATTTGATGCTCGGGAACGAAAGGAGCTGTCGTGGTCGGACTAAAATAAATCAGATTTTCATTTCAAATAAGCACTTCCTTTCTTTTTTCTTTTCTTTTTGCAGAGTTAAAAGTAGGATTTCTTTCCTCAGACGTGTTGTTTTGGAGCGGCTGAACGTTCGGCTCGTTCGGTCCGTGTTGCTAAATGCTAATAGTGTGTGTTGCTACATAATGTACAGCAACATGTGTCTTAGTACGGAGTGTTTTGGGCCTGTGTATTCTGCTGTTACTGTAGGACAGGTTTGTTTTTATCAGTATGGGACTGGTTCCTGTTTTTAGTCGTTCTCACACGCTGACGGTCCGAGCAGAAAAAAAATTTAAAAGCTGCCTTTTTTTAACAAAACTCATTTTTTTAATATGTAGATTAAAAAAACAGAGTGGCCCCTCCCTCCGCTCTGAGAAACAGAAGGGAGATCGTAGTTTTAAGTCTTTTTTTTTTCTCCCCAAACGCGCGTCGTCTCAGAGAATAAAGCCATCCGGATTTGATCCGACCCGGTTTAGAGGCCGAGGCCGAGGCCCCGCCCAGGACGGGGTCGCTGTGATACCAGCTCTTTAAAAAAAAAAACAACTTTTTTACCGCCTCGCCTTTTTCTCTCTGCGCTCCTCTTCATCCTGCTGCTCTTCCTTTCTCCTCCATTTTTTTTTCTCTTCTTCAGTTTCTTTTAAAAAACAAACAGATGTTGCCTTAGGTATAATTTATGTTACACAAACCAAAAAAACAACAACAAAAACATGAGATTTTTTTTATATTATTATGATTATTAGACGTGTTTAATACTTTAGACCTTGATTCAAGTGGTTCTTTTAGATTTTTACTGTTTTTATCATGACATTTCTCAACACTGAGCCTTGAGTTAATCTGTAAGTTGTACAAATATCCACTCAGATGAGTTCTGCTGCGATTGATTGGTTGTTTTTTTTTTTTTTTTTTKYCTTTTTTTCCTGCGTGGCATTTCCAACCCGAGCATTTGATCGGTCCAATACGAGTGGATATTTAATGATTTTTATTTCTAAATCCAGGTTTGGATTCTACCTTCTTAGACTGTTATTGACAAGTCAGTTGTTTTTTTATACTGTTGGCAAAATTAGAAAAAAGTTGTAAATCAAAACAACAAACATTATGACTGAGGCTGAATAGACAAGTTAAAGGTTGGACCAGTGGTGGTGTTTTTGTTTTGTTGTTGTTTTGACAATGATTAGATAAAACAAATGTAGCAATATGAACAACAGGTTTTGTTTTTTGCCCAATTTTGTTACACTTTTATGCAACTTTAATAAAAACATTTGAAATAAACGTGGAGTCGTGCTGTTCTTTATCGTGCTGAGTCAGCATTCACTTATTGTTTTTTTTATYGTTTGTGCTGCATGTTTTTTTAAGAGTCAAACTTGTGTAAACTCAGTGCTGTTTTAAACAATCATATTCAGAAGCTGAGTGCTATCAGGTGTAGTATTTGTAATTTTTATACTTTTTGAATTATTTAACCTTGTTACAAATAATTTCTCCATACAAATACATTTAGAGATCTTAAATGTAGTTTTTATTTACTTTTCTGTTGACTTTTGCTGCACGCTACTGTTTTATTTCAACTTGGTGACTCTTAATTTTAGTTCTTAGTTATAGTTTTTCTAGATTTTAGCTACTGTTTTATTTTTTTTATTTCAACTTTTTCTAATTTTAGTTCTTAGTTATAGTTTTTCTAGATTTTAGCTACTGTTTTTAGCTTCTGTTCTGTTTGTTTCAACCTTATCAATTTAGTCCAGTTATTGGCTTAAAAAACTGCTAAATGTAAATTGTTTTGTTAAAATCAACCAGTTTTATATTTATTGATCTTTGGTAACTGTGTTGATCCCATTTTAAAGTAAAATATAATTTTAAATAATAAACCAGCAAAAAAATAAATAAATAAAATTCAAAAGTACTTTATTTGCTGTATTTTTTAAAGATAAGATTATGATTGGTTGTGCAAACCTGTTCCTGCTTTCTGATTGGTCAGAAGATTTCCGGGGGGCGTTGCCGTTTCCTATTGGCCAGCTGACTCGGAGCTCTCGGCGCTGATTGGCTGAGATCGCCGGATTGTTGAGTCCGGCAAAGTGTCGAACTGAAGAGGCTGGAGAGGAGGAAGTACTTCTTTCAAACATGGAAATAAACACATCAAACCCAAACTTTTGACTTTCTGCACTTTCAACATTCAAACAAGGTGAGCAGCTTTCTGTTTCCGCTTTGTTTACAATCAGCACCGCTTTCCCGCACGGACGGAAGGATGGTGTTTGTTAATCCGTGTGTGTGTGTCTGTGTGTGTGTGCGGTCAAGACGACCAAAATAAAGACGCTTCAATGATTCTCTGATGTATTTAAACACATTAAAACAAGGCTTGTTTTCTTTTCTATCACTCGCTCTGTCGGTTTGGAGGAAATGTCTGAATAAACAAGTTGTTTATAGACTGTAAACACGAGGAGCAGGCAGTCTTTAGTGTTTTCAGTGTTAGCTAGTGTTGCACTTGACTTCGCTCGCTGCCCCGTTTGCCGCAAATTAAAAAAAAAAWAAWAATAAAAACGAGACGAGTTTTTGTTTCTTCTTTCGGGCTTTTTCATGTAAAACACACGCTCGATACAACCGACCCGGGTCTAATTGGGWTGTTTAATTAACTCTAAATATCCACTGTTGCTGTCGTCGTCGTTGAACGTTTTAAATGACATCACGGAAGCTGCCGAACATCAAGCGAAGCGTGATCGAAACTTGACTTCCGGTTCACAACAAAATAAAATCCTTTGAATTTTTCAAATAAATTTGACAGTTTGCTTTACTATTATAGCAGCGATATTTTCCATAGTATTGAATACAAAAAATAACTTTTTTTTTCATTTAATGACAAAATGCGTTATTTCCGGTCGGTAGCGGAAGTAGCTTTACAAACATGTTAAACCAGAAATATGATTGATTTTTTCCCCTTAATTTTCTGTTTCTTATAATCTTTGCCTCCTTCACAGATTGTGAAGTTTAACTTTAGCCTACCAGGATTACTTTAACATGTTTACAGATGTGGATAGTTTTATTCTTCAAATGCTTGTTTAAATAATTGACTTTCCCCTTTAAATAAATGTCTTGAATGCAAGTAGAGGTTTTGTTGTGTGTGCACCGGCTGGTTGCACTTAATCTAAAGAACGTTGAACTAATTTTTAGTTTAATATTTAAGAAATTTGGCAGAATTGTCCCCATTTTGTCACATAACCGTCCTTTTCGTTGCACTGTTGCAGTTTAGCGTAGCAGAAAGCTAACTAAAAGTACTTTAGCGCAGCTAAAGTGCGACAGGAAGTGACGATAAACTCTTTGGTCTGTATTTTGAGTTCTGAATCTTCTTSGTCTCCATGATAGTGACTCGCCATGCCCGCCCAGCCCTCAGAGAGAGAACCAGAGGAGGAGATGGAGGAGGACAGAGGGTCGCAGCTCCCAGAGGCCAATGGAGAGATGGAGGAACCAAAGGAGAGCGAAAGACGAGGAGGGAATGAGACCATGGAGGAGAGTATGGAGGAGAGGGACAGCGACATGGAGGAGAGCGAGGAGGTTGAAGAAGAGGAGGAGGAAGAAGAAGAGAGTTCAGGTAAAAATAAATAAATCAGCGTTAATCTGTTTATTTCAAAGCAACTCGACCTAAAAATAAACTTTTTTTCTTTACCTCTGTGTAGAAATGGACGATGAAGACTGCGAACGGAGGAGAGGAGAGTGTCTGGACGAAATGATGGATCTGGAGAAACAGTTTCAGGAGCTCAAAGAGAAGTAGGTTCAAGAAAATAAAATAAAAAATCAAGTCCTTTATCTTTACTGCAGCAGTTTGGGGACACAGATTAAAGTCGGCTAATTTCTGTTCTTCCTATTTTTTCTAAGTTACTTGAAAAAACATTATTTAATCAACTACTTCAGCATCTAGAAGCTAATAAAATGCTAAGCAATAGCCAACATGGTTTTCGCACGTCAAGGTCAACCATGTCTGCATTAATTTTATTCACTGAACAAATAATACGTGCTGCTTTGAACAAAGGT